TTGTAGGACCTAAAAATCAGTTTCTTATCTCCCTTCAGTGGCTTAAGGGATAAACAGCTTTCAAGCATATTTTTGGCCTACAGTTTCTTAAATGCTGGCTAGTCTCTAGTATCTCCTTTTGAATTAGTTTTTTTATGTAGGAATCTTCATTTGACAGTGGGTATTCAATAGGTAGGGTAGTTACAGCCATTTCCAATCCTGTCCCCACGTACCAATTAGCAAAAGTGAGAACTTTGTTTAAAATCGCTGTCCTTTTGGGTGAACTAAAGTTGTTTTTTAATTTCATCAGAGAAAATATCACAATGCAATTGATTTGGCATCTGGCTAATTGTTTTGAAATCAAATTTGGTTGCTTTGAAATAACTTGGGCAACAAGAACTGCCTGATGTAAATTTTGCAATATAGTACTGTTACACAAGAACACCCATTGCTTACCACAATTCTGTAAGCATTTAAGTAGGAGTTATGTCTTGACATTGTAATACAGTGAAATTGTAACCTGGATAGTGACTTGAGAGATCTGACGTCTGAATTGGTTGAAGGCATGTGTGCTGATTCCTTTTTGAAAGAAACCACTTGGATCAATGCAGTATCTTTCATGAACTAAGGACGTTCCAAAATACTTTAAGTCTAGTCAGATTTATACTACAGTGTGGTAGAGGTAGACATCAGAAAACAACAGCCGTGGCTTCTCTTTCAACATTTGAATATTAAGTCAGGCTACAGGTTCATAAGGTAAGGAATCAAAATGCTGCTGCTCGAATTACGTGTTGGGCAATATCTATGGAGACAGAAATAACTAATATTTTAGATATTTTTAACGATTGCAATTCTGACACAACATGCCTCACCTGTATGGCTCTTTAGATACTTGTTAATTAACCTGATCAGATATGATGTTACACAGCTCTGGACCAGGTGGGTCTTAAATCCCCGGTCCCCTAGATCTTGTGAACAGTCCAAATTTGGAGGAAATATATGTTAATTACAATTCAGTGGCTGACTATTGGGCTGTTTGGATTTAGAATTCCTACTAATGTGAAATCTAACTATTTGTATTATTATGGAATTGTTCTTAAAACTTTTATATATGTGGAATTATTAATGTGTTAGACATTTTTAAATGCGCGCATAAGTTGAATTTAGATTTTGTTTTTGTTGTTGGACATAACTTGTTTTCTTCCTTCTGGGCCTGAAGGCATTGAAGCATTGATTGGCTGTTGTGCCATTTGGAATCAATTCTCCTCCAATGCCTTACTTAAGACATTTATTGTCAATTTATTAGCATCAGTGATGAATTTTGGTGATCTAGTTAATTGCTGGGGTTGTAATTGAGCCTAGACTTGTCTTTGTAGGGCATTTGCCAATGATGAGTAGAATCCGTGACAGATTATAATTTTACTGCCTCACTAAGCGAGGTTTGCTGAAGCCATTTGTTCTTGTCATCACCAAAACTGTAATTATTTAACTGAACATGGACAAGAGATTGAACCTGGGAACTTGTGTTTCAAGTCCTTCTTGGAAAACCTAGAATTATTATAGGAGACATTGATTTGGCATTAAACGACCGATTTGAAACTTGAGAAATAAATACTCTGAATTTAAAATATACAAGTATTGGTAAAATAATAGTAAAATGTGTTTAACTTGATCTTTTTTTTTAAAAGACTTACTCAGGTCTTTTCTGTGTGGTGATCAATCCATACAAGAATCTGCCTATCTACACTGAGGAGATTGTTGAGATGTACAAGGGAAAAAAGCGGCATGAATTGCCACCTCACATCTATGCCATTACAGACACTGCATATAGGAGCATGTTACAAGGTGAGGACTTTGCCTTAAAGTATGTTGGTATCCAAGAATTACTGACTTATTACTGCTATGATCACTTCAAAATTTTGTGAGAATTATTTTTGACTGTTTATAACAGGTTAGTTTCTGTGCTAATTTAATGCTACTTGTTGATTTAACGTTTTCTGGTGAAATTGTTTCTTTTGAAGCTGCAAGAATCCTTGCTAGTAGAGTTCCAAGAAAACAAATCATCTCATAACTTTTTAAGATTTTTTGAGTTTATATATAAGCATCAACAGTGTCTATAAGCTATTCAAAATAAGCATTTCTGTCTTAATCATCTTGAATGATATCTCTATCTTGATGTCCACCAGTGTCTATGCATGCATATTTCCAGAGGATTTTCCAAATAGTGATCTGGAGCTGGCCACTACCTAATCTTCCGCTTCTCAAATATTAAAACTACAAATGAATGAGGTGAAAAGAAACAAGAATTGTTCTCCTTATTAGCAGGAGAATGTGCAGATGAGCCTGAGCAAAGTATTTATCTGATTGTTTCTGTCTGTGGTACTTTTTTTTTTAAAAGAAGCATCTCTGATGACGTTAACACCATTTTAAGCTGCTTATTGCATAGTGATTGCTTATTCTATGTTCAATTTATTCTTATTTACTATTCTTCATAGAGCACTGACTAAACCTAAAATGAGTAGGAATTAAAGAAACGTACAATATATTAAAAACTAGGAAGTCACCCACTAACTTGAGCAGTGTTTGTGGAGTTAATAGACAAGTTAAAACTTTGGCTATGGACTGTTCTGCACCTGAAACCCAAATGGCTTTCTTAACAGCACCTGATCTCTGTCTGTGGTATTATATGTTAGAGATTTCTATCATCTGCAGGATCTTTATTTTGCACAAGACATTTGACTTAAAATACTGACAATAGTTAGAATGATCTCATCCCTTGTTCAGGTTTTTATAGGGTGTGGTAGTGTGTTTCTCTTGATTACAGAGCAGCCTGAAACAACACAATGGATAATTAAAAGGAAGGGCGAACGTTCCAATGTGAAATGGTTTTGCAGTAGTTGGAACTTACATGCTTATGCTGTCAGTATCTAGGAGTGACTGAATCAATGTCCATTCGGAATGGAGTCTAATAGAAAATTGTAGATTTTCTTTCTGTTTTCAAGTGTAACTTTCAAAACTTGTCTTTGCATCGCTTTCCACCCTCTGCAATATGAATTATCATCTTTTCTTGGTAGTAGAATTCAACTTGCAGATGTGTAAATGGACTTTTTTAGATTGCAAAGCATTTGTTAGCCAGAATGCTTTCATATGTTTTAACTTTTTGTGCTTTTTAGTTCAATACAGAATGGTTAAAAATTGCAGTTACTTTCTGTTTTAACGTCAAAACCCTCCTGCTAAAGGGTCATCTTTTAACATTCTTCATGCAACTGCGCCTTCCTGTTATAGCATTTGGTGGAGTGACCACTACACGATCCTTGTAGATAGCAAGTCCTATCTTCAAACTAGATGTATTCATTGTGTTGAACAAATCTCTCATGCGAAATGAGAAGAATGGATGATCTATCTCTGTCTTCTCCTGTGTCCTCCTTGGTGACTCTGTTTTCAGCTAATTTTAGATATTCTGAGACCAGGAACAACTGGGCATTGTAATGGCCTTGGATCCTGACAAATTTCTACCTGTGGTGTTGAAGGCATGCTCCAAAACTGACTGTGCGTCTCTGGTACAAGCTACTTTATGAAAGTTCCCCTATAAAGTGGAAAACTCCAGAATTTGTTCTTGTACAGAAAGAACGAATGACGTTACTTTGGCTGTTTTTGTCTCCATCAAATATGAATAAGGGAATGTCCTGTAGATTGCCACCTACTTATCTCCCTCATCTGGCTTGTGAATCAGATCATTGTGCAGATGATAGTGTATGCCATCAACAAAATGGATTCACTGCAAGAACCAAGTAAGACTTATAAAATAGCATCTTCCAAAGCCGAAACTACTACTGCCTCGAAGGACAGGGATGGTAGGCACGTAGAACCATGTGATATCCAATCTTCTCGCCAAGTCTCTCTCTTTGGTGTGGGTGAGAAACCTAGTACTCACTTATCTTCCTGCAGTGTGAGAGCATCTTCACTGTAAACATGGCAGTAGTTCAAGTAGTTTCCCCATCTTAAAGTTAGGGATGAACAATAAATGTTGGCTTAACAAGTTATGTCCATATCCTATGAACGATTTAAAGAAACAATAACTCTATAAAAGAGCCAATTTCTTAGGACTGTATTAGGATTCTGCCGTTTTTTTAGGTTTCACACAACCTACAGAGGATAAGTATCTTACTTATTTTTGGGGAGTGGTCTTGCAAAGGCATGATAGTTGATCACCTAAGCATGCAGAATTTGATAATTCTTAAAATTCTAGGAGTATCTTTCTGCAATACATGGAGTGCAACAACTTGCTCTGACAAGCTGGCTTTTAACACCAAAATAGTTGCTGCAGGTCATTGAATTTGGGCTTGTTATATGAGAAGGCTGATGACTCAGGCAGGCAGTTCTGTTTTTCCTTATACGGTGAAGCTCGACAGACCCATCACATGTAAATATAGGTGAAGAAGGTCGGTGGTTGTTCAGGATGTGATCGATGTGTGTGGCGATGGGTTTCGGGGAAGGCTCTACAATATTGTCTTCCCTGCCATGTAACTGAAAGCCTCATGTCTATAATTATTAAATATTTGAGAATGCCTTATTAGTTTTAGGCTTTCCTCTTTGTTTTAATTCTATACCAACCTTAATCGTACCTTGAATGTGACAGGTACACTGTCCTCCTTCTTTATCCTTTGATCTCCTCTGCATATTTGACATTCATCACACAATGGGTCTCCAATGTCTTCCTTAAAATAGGAAATCCTGGAAATACTTCTGCAGATCAGGCAGCATCTATGGAGGGAAAAAATTGTTCATGTTTTCGGTCTGTGAGCTTGTTGGCGTTTGGTCTTGCCTGTGCATCGTACCTCTGGTGTCACACATGATTCCATTCTTGCATCCCATCTTTTCCACGTTCTGCATTTTTGAATGACTACATTTGTCCTATGGTAAAATCTCCAAAGGTATGGGATTGGGCTGTACTTTTCAATTGATAGCCCATCTTTTGCATTTTTTGTCATTTAAATTGTTCATAAAATGGGATGTCCCCAGACCGTTATCTAGGCCTCTGGATTAACAGTTCAGCAATAATGCCACTAGGCCATTGCCTCGCCCTATTGTAGGTTGTAGAGACAGTGCCCTTTTGTTTTAGGGTCCCACCACAGATTCTGTACCTATTTCCAGTTGAGTCTTTTTAATCTAAAATTTTAAAAGTTAACTGTAAATGGTACTAGCTATAAGGAAAATGCTTCAATAATTCATCTTTTTTAAAAACCCTTCTGTTACTTTGTCAATTTGAATGCATTTAATTAACAGAAAGCTCTCCATCTTTTTAGCTGTAGAATGTTGAAATATGAGGTTTTAGAATAATTTACTAAAACATAGACTTTAGAGGAAGGAAGGAAAGGTAGCAAGACCTGAACATAAAGAAATTTTGGAAATTTTCAGTTTGAGGTTCATTTGATTGACGGATAGACAAGATTTTAAACGATGGATAAAGACACAAAATGTTGGAAATATTCACAGGTCTGACAGTTTGAGATGTGAAAAACATTGAATTACTCAGCTGGATAAGGAATTCAGCGTTGGAAATTATTTAGAAGAATATTGTCTTCCGAAATGGATTTATTTCTTAAACTATTTTAATATTAAAAAAACCTGCAATATTTTCTTGCAGTCAAATCTTTCTGGACACAGGTTTGAATTTAGTTTGTTGTTTTCTTAACCAAATAGCACTTGGGGAGTGTTGTACTATTGAGAATGCCATCCTTAAATTGCATTACACTGATGTGCCTCATGCCCTGTCAGGTGGATGTTTTTAAAAAAAAGTCTTGTTCAAAGAAATGTCTGTGTCCTGGCTGAAGTAAATTCTTTAAATCAACACCACAAAGTCTATTATCTGTACATGTGTTTTATTGCTGTTGCATGACAATGCAGCTGCCTTGTGTGTCTACATTTGAAATAGTAATTGCACTTGAAAACAGATCCTTGGATGTTTGAGTGTTTTCGGGCATTCTGATGTCAGATAGTGTTGCTTAAGGGTCTTTTTCTTTGTTTCTCATCAGAAATGGAAAATGTTAGTACGTAACTGTGCACCTGATAATTCTCAATATTATGGATTACTGCCTACATTACTTGTTTTTGTTTTGACACTACTATTAGAAGTTCCTACAGAACAGCTCTTAACTGAATAGTGTTAAAAGTATCATGTATTTAGTTGATGAGAATTCACAAAGTTTAGAGTAGAATTAGTGATCTAGCCTGAAGTTTTTATAACTTCCTAGCTCATAATGAAAATCTGTCTGCAAAGTTATGAAAGCTTCAGGCTAGCTCACTAGTTCTACTCTAAACTTATCGAATCATACATTGTTATTTTGGGAAAAGAGATTTGTCTGTTTCCTCCAATCTAACACTTTCATAAATGGTACAGCCATAGGCAACTCTGCTTAACTGATTCAGCTCCTTCAAAAAGATTTTTAGTTTCTGGGTGGAAACAGTCATTGCCATGGCGTCATCAATAGCACATAAAGCTAGACTACACAAGCATTGGGCCTGTTTCAGATCATCCACATCAACCTGTAATAGAAACAGTATAGGGACAAGATAAGTCGTCAAAAAGTGTGTTGTTGGACAAAGACCTTCCTCAGAACTGGACCTGAAACGTTAACTAATTTTTTTTTCTCTTCTTCGCAGATACTACCATACCTGAGTTTTCCAGCAGTTTCTGTTTTTGTTCCTGATTTGCATCTGCAGTTCTTTTGGGTTTTTACCACATTTTGATGCACGGCATATCCTTATCTCTGGTGGTGGACAGACCTAATGGCACGTTAACTTGTATGATGCCTTTGCATTTTGACATTTTTTGACAGACAACC